TAATTAACTCTTTACTTTGTATTTTTTCTCGTTCATTAGGAATCTGTGTCGCTTAGGATGCCTCACGGCGGCCGCTGTGCGTGGGCTCCACGATCACAAAACTCGCCATTCTAATCCTTATTCAGAGGTTTGTGGCTAATGTTTAGCCCCCTACAGCTACCCATGTAATATTCCGACATTATGTTCTTCTAGACCACCTTTGTCTAGACCCCGACAGCTGACAGCTTCGTACAACTTAATTAATACTCAAAATATTAATCAGCGGTTCTTCTAGACCCTTAGTCTAGACCCCAATAGTTATTATAACTACGTACAACTTAATTAAAGCTGAAATCATACACATGGTTAACGTAACTGAGTACAACTTAAATTAAGGTCAAGTGGTTAGTCAGAAATTTAGAATCTCACCTGATGCGCCCATGCTTCATCTCCTGAGATCTAATGTGCACTTAACCCTGGACGCAGATTTGCGGACAACATAAGCCTTCACTTAATCTACTTGAGAAAATAACTTCAGAGTAATCAGAATGAATTAAATGTAACAATTTATTATCAGTCAGGTAAATATGTATTATGCCAATTATCTCCACAGCCAATTCAACGATATCAAATCAATACAAGACATCAAACTCTCAACGACGAATCTAAGAGTAAAATGCATATCTGAGATTAAATGTATTAGATGTATTAGAAAAATACATAGTACAGAGTATGTGGAGGTACTCTGTACTACGGGCATTCTCGTTACAGAATCGCGCTGACCCTTTTGCTGCAGTCCTTTAAATACCAAACCTAAAAAAGACATCCTCCAAATGGAGGCCTGTACAAACAATTGGAATTTGCATTAAGCCAGGTCCCAGACCTGGGTGCTCTACACCTCAATGGGAACAAAAGGTAATTTGCATGGGATTGCTCTCTATGGTGATCAAAGTTTCTCTTAACTCTTAGGATCTGTATTATCTTTTAGTAAGATTAAGACCATTGTACCACTTGCCCTGAAACTATTCAAATGAAACCAAACATGACTGTAAATCTTATTTGCATTCATTTAGAACATTATATTCTTGACCAGTTTGAGTGAATCCAGTGGAGGGAGGAGATGAAAAGGCACAGATGCATATGTGAGAGAGGCGTTTCCCGCACCACCCCTCTGTGGGGTGTCCTGAAGATGCCAGTGCATTGTTTGCCTCTCAGGAGATCAAAGTATTCTAGTTTCTTTTATCCTTACATTAGCGTCTGAAAGAGAAACTCCAATAAATGCATATGGAATAAGGTAAGACACAAAAATAACTGTGTCTGTGCCTTTTCAAAAGAAGGTTTGCACTGACACAAGCTTTTAGTGCATCTCACAGCAAAAGTTGTTGATGTCAGTTAGTGAACATATTCATATGTGTTCTTTTGACATTACTACATAAGAGGCTCCTTCAGCTTTTATAATATTATGAGATTTATTGCTGTGCTGCTGAAGTTCAGTTCAGCTGAAAAAACTAAAAAACTAGTTAAAGAGTTTGGTGCAAATCACAAAATTCTACTGACCTTAATGTATATCGATCACTCCTCTCTTCATTCTCTGCTAATGTCTCCATTGCTAAAAGGACATACTATCACAACAAAATTAACAATTCGCCTAACTCTCGCATCTTTAAAACATTTTCCTCCCTCCTTTATCCTCCTCCACCTCCTTCATCAACTCTAACAGCTGACGACTTTGCCACATTCTTCATTAATAAAATTACAAATCTCAGTGCACAATTTGCCACACCACAAACTGTCAAACATATCTTACCAGCAAACATTGTTGTATAATTTTCCTTGTTCAAAATAAATTGCTAGAGAGGTTTTGAAGACAGTAGACTTCAATCGATCAAACAACAAAGTCGAGTTACAGTTTGCCAAAGGTAACTCCAGAATGTCTTTTCTACACACACACATATATATATATATATATACAGTGGGGAAAAAAAGTATATAGTCAGCCACCAATTGTGCAAGTTCTCCCACTTAAAAAGATGAGGCCATGAGGCCTCATCATAGGTATACCTCAACTCTTACCATAGGCAGAATGATCAATAGCTGCCATGTATATTTCTAGGTCCTGAACAGATTCTTTCCATATATGCAGGGTCTTCAAGTTTTAAATAGTTCACTCAGTAACACACAGTTACTACACACAGTCTCTTTAAATAATAATAGTAGAATAATGTCTTCTTATCTATAAGCATAATTATATGTATTATATTGATAGTAGAATAATGTCCTTATTTATAGGCATAATTATATGTATCTATATAGGCATTAAGACCACTGAAAATCTTCTACAACATACACTCGTTTTCATCCTTCTCCACTCTCTGAGGCAGAAGTCTCTAAACTCATCCTTTCCAATCATCCTACTACTTGTCCTCTTGATCCTATTCCAGCTCATCTCCTTCAAGCCATTTCTCCTGTAGTTGTACCTGCACTCACTCACATCATAAACACATCCCTTCACACTGGTGTTTTTCCCTCAGCATTTAAATAGGCTCGTATAACCCCACTTCTTAAGGAACCCACCATTAACCTATCTCTTTTAGAGAACTACAGACTGGTTTCCCTTCTACCATTCATTACAAACACAATTGAATGAGTTGTGTTCAACCAAGTCTCAGCCTTTCTCACACAGAACAACCTCCTGGACAGCAACCAATCTGGCTTCAGAAGTGGACATTCGACCGAGACTCCATTGCTCTCAGTTGTTGAAGCCATTTACATTTACATTTACATACATAACTCCTTCAAAAACAGCTAGAAACCTTGGAGATGTGATTGATGAAAAGCTGAATTTCTCAGACCACATTGCTAAAATGTATAAATAAAATGTTGTATAAAGCAGATTTGCTTTATACAACATTAGGAAGATCAGGCCCTTTCTTTCAGAACATGCAACACAACTCCTTGTTCAAGCTCTTGTTCTATCCAGACTGGACTATTGCAATGCTGTCTTGGCAGGTCTTCCAGCCACTTCTATCAAACCTCTACAATTAATTCAAAATGCCGCTGCAAGATTAATCTTTAATGAGCCGAAAGAACGCATGTCACTCCTCTGTTCATCAATTTGCACTTGCTACCAATAGCTGCTCGCATAAAATTCAATGCATTAATGTTTGCCTACAAAACCACCACTGGCTCTGCGTCCCTTTACCTAAATTCATTACTTCAGAGTTATGTGCCCTTAGAAGCTTGCATTCTGCAAGTGAACGGCGTATTATTGTGCCATCTCAAAGAGGCACAAAATCAATTTCACTGACTTTTTCATTAACTGTTCCCTCCTGGTGGAATGACCTGCCCAACTCAATCCCAGCAGTCCTTAGC